ACTACTACTACTACTACTACTACTACTACTACTACTACTACTACTACTACTACTGCTGCTACTACTACTACTACTACTACTACTACTACTACTACTACTACTACTACTACTACTACTACTACTACTACTTACGACAATTGCTTTCTTCTCCTTCAGGAAATGCTTTCCCTGTCGTTGGTCGGGTTTCTATGGACGCTATTACGGCGAAAGTCGACGAGAACGTCACGCAAGACACTGTGTTTCATGTCATCAGAAATGACTATACCTCTCCAAATTCTGCCAGCAATATGGCCGACACTCTTCGGACAATCCCTTACGAAATCGGTACCAGTCTCGCTGCTCGCCTTCCCAGGTTGTTTGTTACTTCTGATGACGATTTCTCTCAGGAAAAACCCGATGTGTACTATTGACTGTGATTTTGTGTTACTGTAATAACAATTTTGATATGCTGCTGTTCCCTTTATAAAACCCATTGTATTATTTAAACATTTTTGGTTGCTTTTTTGTGTGTTTCTTTTATCGTGCTATATAAATTATAATCCTTAAACGGATGGTGTCTATTTTAAAGCTGTAGAGTTCTTTGCAGTTGCTCACTAAAACGTGAGTTCGATTTATGAGTAGGGTTATTTTTTATGTTGTATTTCTGCCTGTTTGTTGATATGTTGTGTCAAACTTGACTGGCAGGGTCGGAGCAGATGGAGATGTAGAGCACCCCATTTTATTTATTGAGAGACTACACTATTTAATCAAAAACGCCAGACTCTTTGGGTCGAAGAGTGGATTCATACGAGCCAGTTTGCCCATAGAGTCATTTGTTTTTACCTTGATTTTTTTGTGCCCCAATCAACACAATTTAGATCTTTTAGGGTGCAGGCTTCTGATCCTGCCTGTTATGGCCAACCCGGGCTGAAAGGGAAACAACATACCAGCAGAATGACCGAGACACTCAATAACATTTTTGTTCTCACCTCCCAGGAATCGATCTCAGGTCTAGTGCGTGCAACATGATAGGAAAGCCCCTAGCCACTACACCACAGACGCCGGTAAAGAGTCATTAACACTACATTTAAATTGTACTTTCGGAGACTGGCGTTACATTCTTAGTTTCCACCTTTTAAATTATGGAGTCCAGTTTTCAGTACTTTACAACTTGATTGAATGTATTAATTTTTTTACAAAGTATTGCAATTGAATAAAAGTAACAGAAGCAAAATCAAAGATGAGGCAATCACCCAGTACGTAAACCTCCGTAAAGGTAATTATTGTCATATATTATTATTATTACTATTACAAGATACAGACACGTTCTACGAACGGCGATATAGTGATAGGAAACCAAGATAAAATGTTTGTACCTGATTCATTGCCGTAAGACCTCTGTGTAGACAACATTGCTTATATGCGACATCTGGAAGGTTAATATGTTGTGTGAAGGCATGAGGGGAATCCTTGGGATGAAAGAAAAGTCTCCTTCCGGCTTATGGAACTGGCTGCAAACGACTATAGCATCAATTACATTTTGATGAAGGTGTTAAACCACATAGATGGTCGCGCATCAGTTGCCGTTTGCGCAAACCGCACTTCTGTTCTTGCTAACTACTCCAAATCAGTCTTGAACTCTGTGCTCCAATTACTCTTAGGATATAGAATGATCTAGATTTAGAGTTTTGCTCTTTAAACACTACGCACCAACTACGCTCCAAATTTTGAAAACGTCAATACATCGAAGTAAATATATTACGGGTTTAAATTAACTCAACGTATTGGGGACACGACACTCCAAATTAATCTAGAAAAAGTCAATACACTGAAGTTTGGTCAGAAGTATCCATCGACACTTCGAAGCACACATCAAAACAGCGTAGGATAGGCATATCGAGATTTTAGATCTGGAAAAAGTAGAAGCAGCTGTCTCACCAACACGACGAAGTACAAACCGAAAAGTAAAGGAAGTAGTCCCCAGTGAAATATGAAATGGCTAATGGCAGAGTTAAAACACCTGAGAGATTCGATTTACAGACGAAAATCAACAATCCTTAAAAATCCAAAAATAATTTCCGAACTTTGAGAAAACATGCCCTAGTAACTCTTAGGGGCATTGCTTAACTAAATCATATTTAAGTAGATCTTATGGGCATCTGAAGAAAAAATGTATAATGACCTCACAGACGAGCTTACCTCCATTATAATAAGATTATTATTGTTGTTGTTGTTGTTATTACTACTATTATCATTACTTGCCCTGTGTACATAAAAATTTGACATAGAAAGAAGTAAAATTAGTAAGGTCAGAGGTAAGTTATTCATAATTTTTCTGGTGACTCTATGAATGATTCGCGTTGGGAAGAAGAAGAAGAAGAAGAAGAAGAAGAAGAAGAAGAAGAAGAAGAAGAAGAGGAACAACAACAACAACAACAACAACAACAACAACAACAACAACAGCAGCAGCAGCAACAAAAACAACAGCAACAACAACAACATCAACAACAACAACGCCTACTCCTAAAAGGTTCTAAACGCTGTACAATGCAACATAATTTGATACTACTGACAAATGGAAAGGCAGAAAATGTGCACTGTCAGATCATTGGACGACAAACAAACACACACACACACACACACACACACACACACACACACACACACACACACATACATACACACACGTGCGCGCGCGCGCACGCACGGGCACAAACACGCAGGCATTAAACTACCAGACTCACACCCATTCTTTCAGGCAAAACCTACCTACTTAAAATATTCTTGAATAAATTAATTGTCTAAAGACGTTTTATACAGTCTATCTCTAATGACGCCCGAAAACGCATTTCTTTTGGGATCGGTTCCAACTCAAACTCATAGGGACATGGAAAGGAAAAACTATTTCATCCTACTTAATTGACCCTTTTTCAAGACAACCATAAAATAGAAACTGTTTTCGGAAAGAAAGCAGGGATCAAATCTCTGACTCACCACTATCGATGTCACCAAAACTGTGGACGTCTGCAGTTTATTATACTTGCGTTATTTATCTTATCTGCTCTCGGGATACGAAGAAGAGGGTGGCTGTTTTGTCATGATGGACGCAAACAGGTGGACATAACTGACCATCCGTTTCTATCAAAATGAACTGAAAAGCACGTAAAAGAGCAGGATCCCGTCAAATCAAGTATGAGCAAACAACAGCCCGCGGACCAAGTCTGATCCGCGAGCAACTATTTTTCAGTCCGACCCGCGAATTGACCCTGTAATGAATACATTACCTGTATGAATGTGGCTCGCAGTGAGTTGGTAAACAATTAATGGAAACAAACCAGTTTCACTAGAAAATCAAAATTAATAGTTACCGACCCAGCAGGAAGCAGCAGATCTATTATTATTTTATGTGAAAAGCCTTTGAATGATATTATGTACAACAGTGTCACTTACACGGGTTACTTTTGAGACGTTGGTTATTTCAACCGATTTTCCTGAAACTCTGCTTGGTCTGTGAGATATTCTGAAGCGCCCTGCGAATTGGACAAATTTAATAGGAAAGAACCCTGGGTAAAGGTTAATCCCCCCCCCCCTCTCCACCGCTTTCCCTGTATAAGAACATGCTAGGTCTAGCGCATAGCAACAGGGGCGCATAAGGGCTGCAGGTACCCGGTGCATATTGAAGGATCAGGTCGGTTTGGTTCGGTCAGGTTTCTGGCGGCTTCAGTGCGCTCTATAAACCCCTGCCCAAAACCTATTGCCTGACACTAAGCATTGAAAACAAACGCGTTTATTATTGAGGGTCATCGTCGGTTACGGTGGGGTTGTTCTACGATGGTACCTGGTACTAGGGAGCGGGACAGAGGGTGCCCACCTCGTGACTCGAAAGAGATGAGGAATGTAGGACTAACAAGATCTTAACAAACTATTAACCAGTTGTGGTAGCCATCTCTAGTGTTACTGACTTAGATGAGTAACTTACCAAAACTCGTTATAAGAGTGAAGAAACATATTTTTTAAACTTATTTATTCATGTATTTGTTTATATGTAAAACCTTTTCCTGTGTGTTTACTCTAAGACTAACAGCTAATTTCAAAACCCAAAATGCTGCAGTTTGTTGTTATAAAAACAAAAGCGTCAGATGATAGAAGTTGGCAGGGTCAAAAACAAAGCCAAACAAAACAAAACAGAAGGAAAAGGGAGACAAGATTTTGACCTGAAAAGAACCTTCAGAAGTTTATGGAGAGGAAAAAATTAACATTTTGTGACTAAATGAATTAGCTTCACATGGGACTTTAGTTCCAAAAACGCCATTAGAAGGAGGACACACCCATTGTACTCCTGCTTCTGCTGAATAATTCAGAGATATTGATTCCCGGCCAACCAGTCACTCTTTCAAGGTTGAAGCTGGGATGGTGTTAATGTGTCTGCGTGTGTGTATGTGTGTCTGTGCGTGCGTGCGTGTGTGGGTGTGTGCGTGCGTGCGTGTGTATGTGTATGTGTGTGTGTGTGTTTGTGTGTGTGTGTGTG